TGGGGAGGATGAAGACAGGAGGATCACTATGAGGCCGAGCTGGTTAGTGAGACCCTGCACCAAATACATAAATGGAACAAATAAAATGAACAAGGCAACCAGTCACAGAAGACAAATGACCCTGTATCTGGTAATACACACTGGAGTGGAAAACTCTACTGAAACAGCAGCTATTTCTTAAGAGCAGGGGGCTTTACCTTCTCTTTATGTTTTAAAATGTTTAAGAGCTGGTACACATTAGTGCAAACTGTGCTTCAATTTGACCCAGACCAATAAAAACCTGTCAAGGAGCAGATGACTGAAGAAAATCTCCTACCTAGAGACCTCGCCTTTGCTCTGAGAACAAATAGAAAGATAAGTTAGCTACACTTTCCCTATTGCTCCCCGTTACTATATCTATATTTCATTACCCATTCATCGGATTAACAAGTAGAGCACCACAGTCTTAGGCTGTGCCTTCCCAGGAAGAACGTGCCGTGACGGGATGCCTAACTGCTGAAATGGTGCTTCTCTGAGCATCGTTGCCTGGAGTGGCGACTGGTGACCATCCCCGGCCGGTGACTCCGCGAGGTGAGGCGGTTACACACCGCTGCGGAAGAGGCTGCGGAAGGTCGGTGGTGCCCGGCGCTGAGTCCTGACTCTGGCTCCTGTCCTGGGGCCTCGAGCAAGCTCCTTATTCTTCGAAGCCTCGCTTTCCTATCAGTGTAACGCTCCTGGTGGCTCCAACGCAGCACAGCTGGGAAGCTCAGCATGAAACACTCAGGAGGCCCGGAGGTGCTCAGTGGCAGTTTGTGTACCGTGACAGGGATGCACCCACGTTCTGGCGTGTGTCCTCTTCTCCCCGCATCCCCCTAGGTGAACAGTTCTCTCCTCTGAATCTCGCAGGAGGCTTGATACCCCCTCCCAATGACCAGTGGGGTCCCCCCAGCTCCACTCCCTGCATGGAGCAGTCCCTGAGCCCTACTGTGGCACTGAGGACCAAGACACTACACACATAGTATCGTTTTTCCTCTGGAGCAGCAGGAAGACGCTGTGGTTGGCTTTCCAACCACACCTATCTGAGGTTGAATCTTGGTCGCACCTTTTTCTGGTCTTCTGGTCCCGGGCAAGTTATAACGTTTTCTGAGCACCAGGTTCTGCATCTCTTTAACTATGCACGGTGACACTGACTCTGTAAATCTGAAGATGCTGGGAGACGAAGCATACAGGCATCATGGATTGGGTCTGACTGTGTGGACAGTAATTAGCCAATTAAACCCATCCACTTTCAACGATCTGCTGGATGTAGGTGCGAAACAGCAGGGTGCTGCCCTCGGCCCCCATAAGGTAGATGGCGTATGCAGGAAGAGGTCAAAGAAATGGTAGTTCGAATGAATATTGATAAAATATCTATGTAGTAGAACAAGTACACTCCAACAACTTGTTTCGGTGTGGCAAACCAAAGACTCCATCTCACCTTTCTTTTCATTCAGGACTTTGCTTCCCGTCGAACTATGTCACCCTTCTACCTAGTGACCCAAGGACATCTCACGGAGTGCCACTAGGCGGCCTGAAAATGATCGTGGAGGAGCTCATTGTTGATCTTCACTTGTTATTGCAGCCTACATGGGTCACACCGCTCACACTTCTGTTTCCTTAATAAGCCAGTTCTTTGAGTTCGCAGTACATGTTGTCTCTGATGGAAACCTCACCCTGTTGTTCTCTGCTTTTGTCCTTTTCCATCCCTTTCTGTTCCTCGCCCTGCCTTTCTTGTGTCCTCTCTTCCCTTCCCCTCCCCTCTCCTCTCCTCTCCCCGCCCCTCCCCTCCCCACCCCTCCTTTCCCCTCCGTTCCCCTCTCCTCCCCTCTTCTCTCCCCTCTCCTCTCCTCTCTCCTCTCTTTCTCTCCCCTCCTCTCCTCCTCTCTCTCTTCACTTCTTCTTTGCTTTCACATGAAATCCAGAGCCTCTCCCAAGAGTGAAGCACTCTACCATGGAGCCACATGCCCAATCCTGATTTTAAGTGTTTTGCATACCTAAGCCTGCATATAAACTAGAACTCTGAAAAGCAAAAGTTATTTTGTCACTCCCCCTCCCACTTACTCATGTTTCTAGCCTTCCATCTTTTGATTTCTTACCTTTTTCCCCGTGTTGAGTCACCACTTGCTGGGTGCTATGTCTCACTGCCTGCATGTGCACATGCCAATACCATGGTATTGCCTTTCCTAAAATCTGTCCAGCCAGCCTGCAACCTGGACTTACCCCAGGAAATCCAAGCTTGCTAGATGACCCTCCCAGAGCTTCAGCAGAAGCCTGTGCATACCCTCACTGTAACACTTGCAACTTACCTAGTTGTTCCCAAGAGGTTGCAATTACATGGAAGCCAGGAATTGGACTTCATGTCCCTGTGTCCTAACTGAAAGTCTGTGGGGGAGTGGATGCCCTGGACTCAATGCTCCTTTCTTTCTTGCAGTAGGACTGGTATTCCTCTTGTGACAGGTTGATGACAGAGTCGCAGGCACTACTTGCCAATACAACTCCTGGGAGCAAAGTCATCCGCCCTCTGGAAGTACATGGCGTGCTGAGCTGGTGCCTAGCTGTGGCCAAAGTCGCCCCGCAGGAGAGGGAAAAGGACACGCCACACAGGCTGGTTGGCATAGCAACGCCTGCCCAAGGGGCGTTGTGGGCTGCTGTGGAACTGCGGGAATGGCGACACTGACTCCGTACAGCAGCCCGAGAAAGACTACAGTGAAGCTCATTGTCAATTTTTATTTCCTACCATACACCAAAGGTACAGCACTGAACACAATTTTGTTGGTTTGATGTAAGAAATATTAATTGGAGAAACAGTATACAAACAAACTACCTTAAATTAAAAAATGCATACATCATTGCCTTTTTGCTTACAAAAGACCCAAATTTACAGTATTGATCATTAACATAGTTGAAAAGAAAAATACATCAGTGCACATTATAAAACACATCAAGTACAAAGGAGGCAAATAAATACCGCTCACAAAACATCTTGCTCAAACTATGCAACACAAATAAATTAACCTGAAGTCATAGTAAATTATAATAATAAATATATAGGTTGGTAAGAGATTTTTTTTAAATTAAATAAAATATGTAACAAACTTGTTAAAATATTTAGCAAATTAAACTTTTGTTTTTGTAATAAATGAACTCATTTGTATGCATGTATGAAGTACTGTATAGCAAAGTGTTTGCAAGGACATAACTTTAATAGAAAATTTTGTTTGGTGTTCCATTGATAATAGACAGCACATATGGTGGCTTTTTTAAAAATTGGTTTTTAAATAAACACCATTCCTAGCTAAGAACAGACAGCTCATTTTCACTAAACTAAGATTCCAGAGTTCAAATGAACCCCAAACCAAAGACAAGCCCCGCTTGATGCAAAGCAATGAGCACGGCTTCATGGGGGTGGGGCTCTGTCCAGGGTCACTTCTCATGTGTTTGTGCAGATAACAGCAGTAGCAAGCCTGTGAATGCCACCACATTCAGTCTACATGTCCATGAGGCTAATAAAAAATAAACACTTTGTCACAGCACAGGAAGTGAGCCCACACCAAGGTCGTGTACACTGACACGGAGGCACGTCCGCACAGGGCAAGTGTGCACACAGCAGGAAGGCAGTTTAGCTGGTTGTCTAGACCTTTTCCTTAAAAAAAATAAATATAAAAAAACTTCTGAAACAATGCTTAACTACTTTACAATCCCTGAAATAGACATTGCCTTTACTACAGCAACTACTAAGCTCTGACCCATTCAGAAATTCAAGATTGTAGGCTCAATTTGATGTGTGCGTGAGTGTCTGTGGGTGTGTGTGTGTAGAATTGGTACCGTTTACAGGCCAGTGGCAAGATTTTATCAAATTGAATGTGCTCTTGGTTCCCAAGGAGGATGGCACCAATGCTGCCAGTGTCCAAAGCAATTACTCAAATTGGAGCAGCATTTGTTTTCAAGTCTTACGGTACTTCATTCCTTTCTAGTCAACCAGTAAGATAAATGCTATTTCAGGGGGTATGGCATCTACGGAATTTCCATTTGGATGTGTTCATATCTGCTGAGTACAGATCCACACCCATCTAGTTCTTTGTATCTTGTACCAGCGCATGGAGTGAAAGCCTGCCTGGTCACACCGAGTCTCATTTCTTGTCTTGGGATGAAAGTCACCAACTATCTGATGTGACTTGAAAAACAGACAAATCTGCCTCGCTAAAACAAACTTATGTTTCGTTAAAACATTTCAAATAAATAATTCATATCAACTAAAATCGTGCAACCAAGTGGAATACTTTGCTGATTGCTCTATTTAATTATTGCTAACAGTCTGAGCCGGCTGTCGTCAGCATCCTGTGCTTGTGGGAGGGTGGCTCGCCCGCTAGGCGGCGCCATTCACCTTCTCATTCCTTCCACGCAGCTCCCTTCACTGCCAACCCATTTGTCAATACTACAAAACCCAGTGGAAGGGGGATAGGAAATGTGCAATCAAACTCAAACTCGACCGAAGTGCAGTCCTTAGACGTGGGTTTCCTTCACACTCTTCTGTTTGCTCCTGGAAACCCAGCAGGATAAGTGATTTGAGAATAGCATTTCTATTTAAATCCTATTAGAAAATAAATTAATAAACACACTTGTAAAAATATGGCAGACTTCAAAATGCAGTTAAAAGATAAAAAATTCTCTGATTAGTAATAAATAAAATATAAAAATGTCACATTTATTTTACATATACTTTACAAAAGAAAGAGTGCAATGAAGAAATAAAAGGAAAAACATAGGAAAATAAATAAGATCTAATAATTGACTGCATTGCTTTTCATCTAAAGAGTCTATCATAGTTTTTCTTTCCTTTTTATGTCGGCTGGGGGAAATAGTGCAACGTTGCGTCTGTAATGCAGTCGGCAACCTCCGGGCCTCGCAGCGCCGGCGCTTCTGGCAGATCGATCTGGAGCTCACGGCGGTTGGTGATCCCCGTTGCCGGAAGCACCGCGATCCTACACGTGGATACCCTTCACTGCCTGTTTGATACTTTCCAGTAGAGCTTTGCATTCCGGGGAATAGTCCCGTTCCAGATTGCTGTACATGTCCGTGAGTGTATTTACATATGCTTCGAAGTTCTGCTCACTGATAGGTCCCTGAATGGAGATAAAACACATTGAACCAGGTTCAGACCAGGCGAAGGGGGAGCAAGTGACAAGGAAGAACGTGGGAAGGCAGACAAGGATTCACAGGGCTGCTCAAGCTTGGGGGCATAGGGAGAAAGACTGGGGCATGTTGGACACTTGTTCTCTGTCCATTCATGGGGGTCATGAAGTATACTGAGGGTCAGAGCCAGACAAGGTGTATTTGGCTGCAGGGCTGGACTGCTCAGTACTACACGACCTCCTGGAGGACACTTGGCCTCGGCTGCACGTGCCCAGCCCAGGAGATCTGTGTTGGAGGACGGAGCCTGGTGAGGCCGGGATAGAAGGTTTGCTTGTGCCAAGGGAGTCCTTTAACATCTCAGGCTGGCATTTAAGCTACGAGCAAGCTGCTCCCTGCCCAGGGGCGATGGGCAGCTTTTCTATCTCCTCCTCAGACTCCCTCTTGGCCACTTTTCGTCTGTAGCAGCATGCAGTGTACACTTCCAGTTCGCACCTCTTCAGGCAGAACATCAGCGTCCCAGAGTCAAGATGTTTCCACCGTTATCCTGTTCGGAGTTTTAGTGTCTCCTGCCTGCAGCTAACGTGATACTTCAAAGACCGCACATGCCGGCTACGTGTACGTTGCATGCTTGTGTGACAAGAAACGAGAGACACAAAGGGGCTGCCACCTCGCTGTTGCTGGTGCCTCTGTTTTTCCACTTTTTGAAAAATAATGCAGATTCCTCATCTCATGAGGGCTTTGGAAGAAAGGACTTTTTGCACTCTGCTTCCTATTCGCCATAATGTGAGCAGCTTTCTTCCGCCAGACCCTCCTTGCTGCCTTGGAGCTAGCAGGCCAAATCATAAGCCAAAGTTCTTTCTTCCTCTAAGTTATGTCACATATTTTGTCCCAGCAATGAGGAGTGTGACTAGGACAGAAACCTTTCTAAATTTTAAGATGATTTAGTTGGGCTTAGCGAAGCGCTACACTCAGTTATTAGTACTATGTGAATGTGATTTTCCATTTGCTTTCAGTTTCTGCCTTGCTGTGCTGTGTGTGTCTTGGAGAAACTACAAAAGGGAAGAGGAGGGGGGCAGGGCTGATAAAGGTCACACCAGGAAGTCCGAGCCCCCAACTCATGCCAGCTGGAAGCCTGGCTTCTGTGATGGCAGCTCAGCCATGATTTTTGGCGCTGTGGAATGCGAATGCCAGCACCGTCTCTGGTGTCTCGGGAACATTTTGTGCAAGCAGCCGCACAAGGCCCCACTGGACTGTGCCAGGCACGGGTGAGCGTGTGTGGCATCTAAGTCCCTCAACGCATGAGGAAAGAAGAGCAGCTTAAAGAATGCACACTTGAAGTGTGAGTTTGCAAGTTATAAGAAATGGTAATTATAGCAATATCTAATAATTACCTTCATATAGCCATAAAAATCTATCTCCCTTTGTGCCTACTGTTATATCATTGGGTTTTCTGGTCACAAAGGCCTTCTGGAATTGGTTAAGATAAAGGCTCCATGCAAGGAAGTTGGGGAGGTGGAGGGATTTACTGTTTCAAGCAAAACTGTGTTTTTTCATCACACTGCTGCTTCTTTGATCCATTTTATACATAAAATTGGCATCTTAAAAAATTTATTCTAAGAATCGGTCAGTTAGCCCAGTGGACTAAAATGCCTGCTGAGGCAGAGCGGAGCGGCCGGGCTGCAGTCCCTGGCCTGCTATGTCAGTGTTGCCCCGGGGTGTGCTGAGAGGATGATGGAGACGGGCGTGGTGGTGCACGCCCGTAATCCCAGCACGCGGGAGGCTGGAAACAGGAGGATCACGGCGAGGCCAATCTAACAGTGAGACCCTGTGCTAACTAACTAACTAAATATTCTAAGAGTACATGCTTTGAAGACTTTGAAAATATTCCACAATGTAACCTCTCCTCCTCAGATTTATTTACATTTATGATGATGGGGAAGAATCTAATTTTAATAAAGCCTTCACGGTCACAAACCTTAAGAAACGTATAGAGCTTGGAGATGAGGACGTGTCGCTCACACTTGTGCTTTCTATTCTGTATGGGGAGAACTGAGGTTTCTTCTTCATATTCATGTATAACAAAACACCAAATTTGCTGGGATTAAGCTTCTTGTCGTTCTTGAATTGGGGGAATGATGCAGAAGGTTGAGTTGCAGATTTTGTGAGCCATGGCAACTTCTACTTGAAAATGTATTTCGTTTTCATGTTATACTATAAACAAGGTTCAAATAAGGCCTCTCTCTCTCTCTCTCTCTCTCTCTCTCTCTCTCTCTCTCTCTCCCCCCTTTCCTCTTTCCCTCTTTTTTCTTCCTTTCTTTTGGGATCCCTTAACTTGTCCAAGCTGGCTTTGAACCTGCGATCCTCCTGCCTCAGCCTCCTGAGTGGCTGAGCACAGAAGTGCATACCCCTCAGCCTGGCACACCTTCATCTTTAAGTGCCCTTCGCCTTTAGGAATACCCTGGGCCTAATGTGGCCTCAGGGTGCGTGCCTCCCGGCTGCGGAGAGGGCTGCAAGGGAGAACACGGCGGCGCGCACTAACTCCCCGGCTGTTGGCAGGCGCCCGCGGCTGGCCCTGCGCACTCAGGGACGGCCCCAGCGGCCCGGGGACGCGGCCCTCCGCAACGCCCGCTTACCATCTGCGGGAGCTGGATGTCGGCGAGGCTGGAGATGAGCGCCTGGCTCAGGCCCGCCAGCTCCCGCAGCAGGCTCTCGTTGCTCTGCTCGATGAGCTTGTTCTCCTCCTCGATGGTCTTCAGGCTGCTCTCCATCGACGTGATCTAGAACCGAAACGGCCTGGGAAGGTGAGAGCTGGGCTCGCACGGTGCGGCAGAGGCCGGAGCGCCCGCACGCACCGCCGCGTCGGCTAGGAGCGAGGGTGGCTTTCTCAGCTTGCGGTGGTGGGCGCGCACGTGGCCACACGCGGCAGGTCCAGATTCTCCGCGTGGTAACGTGGCGGGAGCCCAGACGCCCGCGGCAGGTCTCAGCGACTGCCCCTCGCTGCTCCTCACGCGGGCTGAGGGCGCGGACTGTCGCTCAGACGTCCTGGCGTCGCTACGCTGGCTCTGTCTGTCTCTGTTTCTGCCTCTCTCTGTCTCTTTCTATCTCTCTGTCTCTCTCTGTCTCTCTCTCTCTCTCTTATGTCTTTTTGTCTCTGTCTCTTATCTGTCTCTTTCTGTCTCTGTGTGTGTCTGTTTCTCTGTCTCTCTCTCTGTCTCTCTCTCTTATCTGTCTTTTTGTCTCTTCTTATCTGTCTTTCTGTCTCTGTGTGTGTCTGTTTCTCTGTCTGTCTCTGTCTGTCTGTCTGTCTCTCTCTCTCTCTCTCTGTCTCTCTCTTATCTGTCTTTTGTCTCTGTCTCTTCTTATCTGTCTCTCTTTCTGTCTGTGTGTGTGTCTGTTTCTCTGTCTGTCTCTGTCTGTCTGTCTGTCTGTCTCTCTCTCTCCCCGCCCCCTTCTCTCTGCCCTCCCCCAGCCGGGCATCTCCTTCACCATCTCCCAGATGGGGCCACCGCTCCCCCATGGGTCACTGCCCCCCAGGTGGGCCCGTGTCTGCCTCTGCCCCGGAGCCTCTTGGCCCATCCTTCCACAGCCCCACAGTGAATCTCTTCAACACAGGTCAGCATGGAAGTGAAGCACGATGGCTCTGTGGTTGAGCCCAAAGTCCCACAACAGCTCTACACTCTGGAATAAGCACTGCGGACCATGCCCTGGTCCAGTATGGCCCTGCAAGCGGCCTGCAGTCACTTTGGGGACCTGCCCTGGTGACTCGCCCACACCCAGCTAGATGTCCCCCCTTCTGCCACTCCCCGATCTCCAGGTTTTCTCGCCACCAGGGATTGGCACTGGGTGAACTTTCTGCATACATCATTCTTTACCACTACAGTGATAAAGCGTCTCTCACTTGGGAGAGACAGAAGGACCCGAGGCCTCCCAGGCGGTCTCACTCTTTTCCTTCTGACTTGGTAAATAATTATTATTACTGTTTCAAAACTCTTGGACTT